GAATAAGACTGGAGTAGTAGCATGATGGGGTGAGGACATCCTGAGGATTCTCAATTTCATCCTAATAATAACAGGTATACAATAAGTTTTATGAGCAGGAGTGATATGACCAGCTTTCGTTTTTAAAAGATATTAATCAACCTTAAAACAGAAGGAGATCCTGCCTTTTGTGACATTATGTATGAACCTGGAGAACATTATGCTAAGTAAAATAAACCAGACAGAGAAAAAAAAATACTGATGTGATCTTACTTATATGTGAAAGATATATAAAAAAAATTGAATAGACAGAAACAGAGAGTAGATAGGTAAACAGGAGCCAGGCCAGGAGGAATAGGGAGATATAGGACAAAGGATACAAAATTATAGATTTGTAGGATAATTAAGTCTAGAGATCTAATATACAGCTTGAGAACTACACAGGAATTTCCAGGGATAGGAAAAAGATACATTCCTGAGAATGTCTTTAGGTTGAATTTGTATATAACTACAATCCCTGATGAAAAGCAAGTGTATGGTAATAATTATAATAATAAATATGATAATGGTTCATATGTGATGGTAATATACAGTATAATACAATAATAATAATAACACCCTTGCACTGTAATAATAAATTACAGAGACTATTGTGCTTTTTCTTTTAATTCCTAGCCTAATAGGAATGTTATGTTTATTTTGATCTTCTAGCCAAATCAATAATAACTTTTCCATTTCAATAATGAGTGCACTATACTGCTTAGTAATAATTGATGCTTTTATTTGGGCACTGCATTTCACATGTTCCATTGTTCTCATTTAACCTCTATAATTCTTCTTGTAGTCCAGTGACTGAAGCCCAGTGCCTTCCCAATGAAGGATGGAGACAGAGTCTGGCCTTTCTTCAAACAAGTATTTTTACTCTCGTTTCCATTGTAGTCAACTTTCTCTTCACTGCAGGCTCACTTGGACTTGCAGTGGACTTTCACTTTGGAAACATGGTCATAAGGGTGAACACAGACTCACAAAATCAAATAAAAAATAAAAAGCTAAAAGACAAAGTGATGCCATGCTTAAGTAACTATATAAACAATGATACTAGACAATAGCATATAGATGCTATGCCAACAAACTGCTTATGCCATGTAGGTTTGTTTATGTGTACAGAATAAACTAGTTCCCAAATTATTAATTTAATTGTTTAATTATAAATTATCCTTATGTGGAGCCTTAAGAGCCTATTCATAAGTACAGAACATCATAAGTAAAGTCTTCTGTAACCCTAGAACTGCCTGTAGTTAATAATACAATATTATATAATGGAAATTTGCTAAGACAGTAGATTTTAGGTGCTCTAAAGAAAGGTGTTATAGGTGCTCTATGGGTGCTATAAAGAAACTGTGAGATGATGGATATGTTAATTTGCTTGACTGTAGTAACTATTTCACTTTGTATATCAAAACTTCATGTTGTACACCTGAACTATATACAATAAAAATATGTGGTATAAGGATAAACACAGATCATTGTGGCTGCAATGTGATAAATGGGATTGAGACAAAGAATGAAAGGAATGAATGAACGCAGTAGACCTTTTGAAAAGCTATGAAAGTTTACTAGGTTAGTAAGATAATATTGGTCAGGGATGATAACTTGATTCAGATTGGCATCAGCAATAATGGAAAGAATTAAATTGATTTGAGTACCCTGAATATACTTTAGGATGTGGGACTTGGCTTATGAAGGCTTTGATAAACTCACAGGTTATATGTCTGTCACTCATTAGTCCAGAGTGGGGGATTGATGAATAAACATGTATGTGTGTGTATGTGTATGTGAGTGTGTGTGTGTGTGTGCATGGGCACATTTAATCATATGTAAATATTTGAAGGCCAACAATTTGCAAGGCATTGGGTAAATAATAGTGAACAAAAAGAACCTCAATTACCATTTTCAGGATGTTTACATTTCACCATTTTCTCTAACAAAAGAGTCTCAACATTTTCCCCGCCTCCTTTATGTCTACTCACAAGTCTAGCTTATTTCCACTATGTCTTTCTGAAAGTCAGTCTCTCCTCAACCTAATATTGCACAATATGTTTTATCTAGAGTCCCTCTCTTACTCTTATTTCCATTCATCTCTCTGTTCCTTTTTACATTCTTATTTATGAAACAATGGTCTTAATTTACTCAATTGATATTTCACTTAGTGCATATGTTTTCCAGGTTTTGTATATCCTAATCCCATCTAAGAAATCAAGACTCTTAATTTCAGTGTAGGTTTTACTTATGGAACCTGCAAGGGTATTAGAAATGAAATATATATGTATATTGATTTTGAAGCAAACAACAGGAATTTCTATATAAGTATAGGTGCATGCAACTCCACTTGGACTATAATCTCTCCTTTACTTCAGACTTTCTTTAATTTCCATCCTAAATTATTGCTCAGGCCCTACTTCTTTTTCTAGGGTTCCTAATCATCCCATCTCACCTCCTGCAGCGCACCAATCACCAATGATTTTACAGTGCTCCTCCTAAAATTCTGCTCTATCCAACACATGTGTTATTCTCAATGATTGACTCTAAGATTTGTTCCCCAGACTTTTCAAGCTAAGAAAAACAGGTTGGCTGACAGAGAGGCCACTAGGGACCCAGGAGAGCTGGACAAGCCAGCATAAGTCTGCCTCAGGCTCACACACTCCATCTTATTCTGGAGAGCAATAGATCTTCCTCATATTTCAAGTGAACTCTGCTACTCCCAGGGCCATTGTGACCAGACTCACAACTGTTTACAGGTACTATTCTAGGAAAAAGGAAAAACAGAGGGAGGGTGAAAAGACTAGAAAATTCTGAGATGCAGAATGTCAGATAGGAAAAAGAGATTCTCAAATCTTTTCAACCAAATACCACAACCACTACCCTTATAAGGGCACAGTTGGATCCTGCAATTTTTGGAATGATCAATGACATTCTTTGGAAAATAATAAATTTCTAATTTTTATGCCTGAACTGATGTTGCTGTTACTTGTAGTTAATGTTTATATAGTTGTTGCTGGCAAACGTTCCTGATACCTCAACCATGTTGCTTAAAGTTCCAATAATTTCCTAATGCTATCACCACATAGAAGATTTTTATCTGCGGTATTCCTAAAAGGTGATCATTCAGTTTCCACCTGAAAACTTCCACCTATAGTGAGCTTCTTGTTTCACAGGGCTGTCTTTTCTGTTTGCAAGCAGTTCTTTGTGATAGGATCCTTTCCTCTATTGAGCTAAAATATATAATTTTTTTTTTTTTTTACCAACCTTTATTTGGTTAGGTATCTACCCTGTTGACACTAAATGTTTTTTCTCTGACACATAATGAATCTACAAATACTTGAGGACAAAATTATCAGGAACATCAAATATTTCTTCTTAAGGTATAATTTAAGGCTATTTGTTTTCCTAGTCACAGATCTTTCCCAGAAACAAACAAAACAAAATGAACATTATTTTTTGCATTACTCATTTGAACTTTGTACTTCATAGAAGAGTAAGAAAATCTGCATTTCTGGAGCACCAAAACATTCTAAGAATTATGCTAAGAATATGTATGTATTCTACAATACTGGAATTTAATGGTGGATTTTGTCCTTACTACAAATTTTGCAAGATATGCCTCATTTCATTTTCTGAGATGAGGAAATGAGGCTCAAGCCTTAAGTAACTTGGTCAAGTCACATAGAATAAGTGGCAGGGGTGAGATTGTATCCCCCGATGTGTGTTATCTCAAAGACCTTACTATTTTCACTACACCAGGTTATCCTAGGAGATCTGCCTATCATTCATCTGTGGTATGCCTTATACCAAATGCAGTAGACATATGAAATACTTGTATCTGGATAACTCAATTGATGAAGTTTGAATGCTACAGAAACACTTTTTCATATATGCCACCCTATTTTGGATTATTAACATGTTCAGAGTAAGGTGATTTAAAAATTATATTCATTCTATTAGTTTATATAATCTAAGCCTAATTCTGTTTTTATTTTTGTATTAAAAGCTAAGATTATGGCTAAAATTAAAGCATATAATTATTTAGAGGAAATTTTTAAATAGTACAATGGCATTACAAATAAACTGTGAACATACTAAATAAGGATTTGGGATTAAATTGATTTAGATATAAGTAAAAAAGCCTAATAAAAATTCATCAACTAAGCAAACTAATAAACACAATGTTAATATTTCTATACTTTTATTTTTAAAGCAACTTTGTAGTATGCTTCTCATTTTAAGCTCTTATTGAAATTTCTTTTTTTCTGTGAATGTTTTTTTATAAATATACATTTGGAATGTTTCTGACAATATCTGGAGTCTAAACCTTAATAGTGAGACTTAATTATAATTGTATTATTAACAAAAGATAATACTTCCATAAGATTTAATTTTGTATTTATTATATATGTGTTTGGCTTATGTTTTTTTAATATGCTGAGTAAGTATATTCTTTAATCTATGATTATCATCAAATAATTTGTTAATTTGTAAATAGGTATTTATATTCAGAATAGTTATATAAGTTAAGATATTTAACAAATATAATAAAGCCTTATTTCTATAGAAATATGTGTTACCATTAACTCTCAAACTATCTCCCCATTATAAAACACACAAATATACATATATACAGAAAACCATTTATTTACTTTTATAACCATACCCACTCCCCAACCAACTAATGGATGCAGTGAGCATTGTAGGGGGGAAAGGGCACACCTCACAAATCATGGTTTGGGTATGGCAAAGCCAAAGCATATAACCAAAATGTTTATACGCCCATAATATCCTGATATTAAAAAAAGAGCAACAAAAAAATTTTAAAAACACATAAATATACATATAAACAAGAAATAATTTATTTACTTTTAACCATACTCACTCCCTAACCAGGCTTTATTGAGTAATCTGGAAACTTAATGCTAGATTATTACCTATTGAAGCATTTTAGATTCTACTTATATTATGTAAAACATCTGTATTCTACAGAGTGCCATCATGTTTTCAGGTATAAGATTAGCAGATTTCTCAGATCCTCTAGCAAAATCATGAATTTGTAGCTAAGCATTCCAGGGAAGAATCCCAAAGCACCAAGACTAATCCTACAAACTGAAGACCCTGGTATAGTTAAATTGAGTTTCCTTATCTTAAATGAAAACTGTGCCTTCTGGCTTGTTCATACTCCCAACTCCTTCTTGTAATGTTGGAAACATTGTCCTGCCATGTCCTACTGTCTAGGAAAAGAAATTCTAGAGAATTGCAAAATTGAATATTAAACAGGATCTGAGCTACAGGAGAATCTAATGGGGTTGATATGCATTCACAGGTAATTTTTCCTTGAGACTACTTCTGCCTTTTGCAAAGGAAACAGTTTAGGATTATCTCCCTCCCCACCCCTAAGTAGCTGAAGCATTTCATTTGATCATTAGTTTACACAAAATAATTATGGTTATCACCACAAACTATTGTAATGATCAGCTTTTTGTAGGTTGTAAATAATGCAATGATATCAAAATGTCCCTTGTTCTTTTTCCCCTAGGAATCAGACCTTGAGGATCTCAGGGTAGAAATGTCTTCTTGCAATAATTCCATTCCTCAGCCCTTGATATTTGTCCTGGCTGGAATTCCTGGCCTGGAATCTTTCCATGGCTGGTTCTCTGTGCCTTTTTTCTTGGTATTTGTCACTACAGTTATTTGCAATGCCACCATCTTATGTATTATCCGGCTGGAAAAGAGTCTTCATGAGCCCATGTTTCTCCTCCTGGCCATGCTATCAGTCGTTGACCTGTGCCTGGTCAGTGTTACTGTGCCCCGTATGCTGGGTATCTTCTGGATGAATGCCAAGGAAATCAGCTTTAATGCCTGTCTTGCACAGATGTTTTTCATCCCTTCCTTTTATGTCATGGAGTCTGGGATTCTCCTGACCATGGCTTTTGACAGATTTGTGGCTATCTGGTACCCTCTGAGGTATAGAACTATTCTTTCTAGCAACATGCTTGTGAAGATGGCATTGGCTATCCTGGCAAGGACAGTGGCAGTGCTGACCCCAGCACCCATTCTGACACAAAGACTGGAAAGCTTCCAAACCCACGTAATTGCTTACTCTTACTGTGCGTACATGGCTGTGGTACTGATAGCCTGTGGAGACATCTCTGAGCACATTGTCTATGGAGTCATGGTTATTGTAGCATCTGTGGGATTTGATTTGTTTTTTATCATTCTGTCATATGGACTTATCCTCCATGCTGTCTTTCGGATACCGTCTTGGGATGCACGGGGCAAAGCTCTCAGCACGTGTGGCTCTCATCTTTGTGTCATTGGTCTCTTTTATTCTCCTGTTGTCTTCTCTGTTCTGGCCCAGATCTTAGGCTACCATATGGCTCCTCATCTGCAGATCATCATTGACAATCTCTATTTCCTGGTGCCTCCCATGGTCAACCCCTTAATTTATGCGGCCCGGACCAAGCAAATGCGAGAGTGGGTGCTGCGGATCCTTCACTGTCATGGAGACCGAGGTTGATGCCTTTGATGGACAGGACACTTGGGCATGTGGAGCTGGAAGTCAAGTTAGTTTTGAGTTAGAGATAATTCCTGCTATGTTTGAGCTTCACGGGTAAAGGAATAACTAAGGCAAAATAAGAATGTAGTCAACATGGGAAACGTAAGTGGGAAATGTTCTTTCAATCAGGGTGCAAGTATTTTGAAACTCTCATAGCCAGAACTCTCCCCAAATGCTTATGCAAGTAACAAAATAGCAGAATATTTTATTGTTAATTTCATTATTTTTCTAATTACATCACATCACATAAATTGTAAACACATTTTCAAATGAGGTAAAAATGCAATTAGGCATATACATTCAATATATATGGGCAAAAATAATTGCACAAAAATTTTTGATGATTTAATTTTATCTTTTCCATACTTATGTTTTAGCTATTTTGCTGACATAAAAAATATATTATAGAAAATAATCCTATAAATATACATAAATATCTATGAACATACAAATGAGTAATGAGCTTTCTTTCTTTGTCTAAAGAGTTTTAAAAGGAAAAAGAACCATCATCTTTAGCAACGTATAATAGATTGGACCTGTAAGGTAGGTGTTTTACAAATTTTAAAAAATATGAAAAAGCTATTTTTTATCTGCCTTCACTTTTTCCTTTTTACCTACCTGACTTAAAACCATATATTAGTTAAAAAAATATTTTTAAAATATCAACATTTGAACCAAGGGACATAAATGTGTAAATCATACCCATCTTTCCATCTCTAATGCTTATAGTTTAGATATTGCCTGATCTACATACAAGCATAAACAGCTATACACACTTTTCCTTTCATATAAATAAAAAGCATTAATATATACATGTTGCCATTTATTTATCTATAAACAGCTTGTTCTCTCTGTGTCTCTCTCATGATATCACATTTATATTTATACACCCCTCACTGAGCTATGCATACATTCACAAGAATGTGTATATGTACAAAGAATGCATGTATTCAATGACATCAATAAATATGCAAACCGACTACTTACCTCCTCACACTTTACTTGCACCAATTTTCAGAGACATAAATTTGCTCTATTAAATTAACAACCCATCTCAGAATGCTACTTCCACATGCTCTTATTCAATTTGTAGGACTCATCTTGCACAGCACTTCCTTCTGCCAGCCTTGCTTGACCTCACCCTTTTCTTTTTCTCCCTTCTATGTCAGTTTCTTTTTCAGTGGTCTCCAGTGCCACTCATTTCTTCCACAGTCATGATACATATCATACAATATGATCATTGCCTCTTTGCATGATCATTTTCTACACTAAAAATAATGTTTGCCTAATTTTGTTTTCATAAAATCTGGAATTTTCATAAATATTTATTAAATAGGTAAGTCCCATTTAAAATAGCTTCCTTGACAAAACAACTGGATTATAAAACAATGCATAGACTTAAGAATTCAGCCCATCCACTAAAATAAAAGAATCAGAGAAATGGAAGGAGGGAGGGAAAAAAGGGACAGAAATAGGAAGGGTGAGAGGAAGGGAGAGAGGAGAAAGGGAAAGAGAAAGGAAAGATTTTGTTTTCCCAGCTGACTTTCCTCTTCATTGAGAATCCCTTCATGGTGAAATCTTTTCAATTCTATTTCTGAATATTATTTAGGATATGTTCTTTCACCTTCAGTGAACCAATGGGTTCCCTGAGAAAGGAAGTATAATTCCCCTTCTCAATTATTACGGTTATCTTTTGCTGAATTACAAAGAATCCCAGGATCCAGAGTTTGTGGCTGACTAAGCTGTGCTTAACATTCTCAGTTAAAGTACCTCACATGGTTGCATGATAAAAAAGGGGTAGAGCTCTAATCCTCTGCAAGGGTTCCGCAAGGATGGACATTCACTATGGCTTCTTCACTGACAAGCCTGGTGCCTCAGTGCTCCCCCACCAGGCTCTCTCTCCACTACATTAGCCTGGTTTTTTTACATAATGTTTCAGGTCTCCAAGAGGTAAAAAGCAAAAGCTGCTAGGCCAGATATGGTCTATACCCAAAAGTTACACAGCATCACTCCCACAGTATTCTATTGCACAAGGAGATCAAAGTATCTGATCAAATTCAAGGGTTGGGAAATAGACTCACTTCCTTATGGATACATTGCAGAAGAACATACTTTGGAAGATACTGATATGGTCATATTTGAGAAATCCAATCTGCCAAAGTTTCCTCTCAACTACACCAATTCATATGTATTTTATGTGTAACATACACTCACACCTCCCTCAAACTTCTAGGTCTCATTCCATTATGGCATTTGTCCAGAATGTCATCATCTAAATTATGTCCGGATGTAGGAGAGACTTTATAAATGTGGTCTGTTGGGTAGAGTTCCTGGAGCATGATTCCTCCTCTCTGAACATCTAGTTAATCAAAGAGATAAATTATCTGCTCCTAACACTGCTGATATACAATGTTAATAAAGTGACAGGATAACAGCACAAATGCTCCCATTCCAATAGAGGGAGAAAGATGGAATATTGTAATTACTGCTCCATTGCATAATAAAATACAGATAAACACATGTCATCAGTTTTCTAATTAGGGCCATCTTCTGCTCCATGAAAATAATTCTCAATTTTCTGTGGTTTTTAGTTTTACTCCATGGGAGCTATTATACAATCTGTAGTCTTGTCATCATTTATTTTTAAAAGAAGTAACCCAGGTTTTCATCTTATAGTTCAAAGCCTGTAGATTGAAGACCTCAAGAATTATTTCATTTTTTAAAAAAATAAATATTAATTAGTTTTATTAATTACTTCATTATTAAATTTACATGTATGTCAAGGTAAATGCCTTGTCTGATCCTAATATAGAAGACTAAGTAGTAAATTTACACACCCATGTTTTACTATTTATATTTATATTATTATAAATTTTCTTATGCTAGTTATTATAACTAAAAAGCCATATATTCCTCATTTATATTGGCAAAAGGCCTTTATTAAACATATAATTAAGCATTGAAAATGAAGTACAAATAGATTAAGAATGAGAAATAGAATTGCCATTTTTCACTGCATGTAAAAATATGTAATAAAATTTAATCTGTATCTATGTAAAAGCAAACAATATTTTTAACCATTTTATTGAGATATGATTGACACACATACATAAATCATTACATATTTAATGTATACAAATTAATGAATTTGAGGATAAGTATATATCTGTGAGATCATCACCAAAATCTATGTTACAAACATATTTATACTCCAAAAGTTTCCTCCCACCTACTTTATTTATTACTATTATTATTATGTGATAAGAAGATAATATGAAAAGTTTCCGCTCAGATAAAGAAACAATCAGCAAAACTAAAAGGAAATCTATGCAATGGAAGAAAATATTCAAAAACTATCTATGTGATACAGGGTTAATATCCAAAATATATAAGGACTTACTACAACTCAATAGTAAAAAAACGAATAAAAAAAAAAAAGCCAACAAAACAAATAACCTGCCTATAAATGGGCAAAGTAACAAAATAGACATTTCTCTGAAGAAGACACAAATGTTCTATAGGTATATGAAAAGGTGATTAATGTCACTTATTTAAGCATAATGCAAATCGAAAGTTAAAATAGCTATTATCAAAAAGTGAAAGATAAGTGTTGGCAAGTATATGGAGAAAAGAAAACTCTTATACATAGTTGACAAGAATGTAAATTTGTAGCCATTATAAAAAACATATGGAGGTTCCTCAAAAGATTAAAAATAGCACTACCCTATGACCCAGCAATTTCACTTCTGGGTGTATATCCAAAGGATATAAAATCATTTGCTTAACAGATAACTTGAGTGTGAGTATATGTCCAGTGGCTTGTTTCTGATTAACAGACTTCCTTAACTTAAAACATTCCAAATCTTTAGACAAAGCTTCATTCTTTAACCAATTATAAATCAAAGAATCTTTAAATCCACCTATAACCTATAAGGCTCCACTTCAAGGTGTCCTACCTTTTCAAGCCAAACCAATGCATACTTTCCATTTATTAATTTATGAATTTATGTGTAATTCCTGTCTCCCTGAAATGTATAAAACAAAACTGTAACCCAACCATGGCAAGACCACTTGCTCAATGTTCTTGGGTGTGGCTCAAGGCCACAGTCCTCAAAGTTGGCTCAGAATAAATCCCTTTTAAATTATCTTACAGAGTTTAGTTTCTCTTCTGTTGACACATGAAAGATAGAGTTAAATCTATTCTTGAAAAATACAATGTGACACTCTCAACTTTCTTTCCCTTCCATTATCAATAATTCTTGACATTTTACGTCCTCATTGGGGTTCTAGATTATGACTCCATCTGTAACAGTGCTCATGAATGAATATTTTTCTGTTTTTCTTATATTCATTCTCATACATTTGGTCTACTGTCAATGTTGGAAATTAGGCTTTTATTTCTCTAGAAAATCCAAGGTAACCAAAACACTGTGGGTTATAGAGAGAGATTTATAAGGATCCAAGTGTTAGAGTTGGTTTGTTGGTTTGTTTCCATAAAGTTCATAGCAATAATGAGACAAAATTTGTCTTCTTTTTATAATCTGCTCTCCAAATATATAGAATCTATTGACCATAAAAGAAGTATATTTTCTCTAAAACATTCTTCTTATATTTGAAGAGAAAGTTCTCAGAACCTTTAAATTATTTAAAAAATAATAGTGTGAATTCTAAATTGATAATCTTAGTTACTTTCAATTTAGGAAATAAACAAAAACATATTTAGTTTGTAGATGACTCACAAAATTTTCCATCTCATAGTGAAATAAGAACATCGGTGTTTTTTAAAAACAAAAGCTATAGAAGGCTGACTTACACCATTTAATTCTCACGTCAGTCTTGCAAATTTTATATTATCCCCTTTTTGTCAGATGAGACAATTAAATCATTAAGAATAAAATAACTTGCCCAAGGTCACATATGGTAATTGGTAGAGCTCTCATTGCACTCCAGATATACAAGACTTCAAAGCCTTTGCTTCTTTGCTTCTTGAACTGACCTTTCTGCAACTGACATGTAAAATGCCTTTATCAACCTAATGTCATCAATCGTGCACAAATCTGTGTTAATCCTTAAACATCTGAAACACAAACTTTGACTCTCACACAATTCGAAATAAATTAGACAAAAAATTTCAAAATATGTATAACATAATACCATTTTGTTATTTTAAAAAATAAAAACAGGTTATTGGTGAATGAAAGACACATAATTATCTGAGAAAATTATTATTTTTAATCTGCATTTTAATTTAAAATGTAATAGTAAATAACAAGACAATGTATAATTAAATTAACTCTGCTGTTACTCTGGAAGTAGGTACTTGGGCCAGGTTAGATATAGAGATTTTCTTTCACATTGGTCTTACTCAGGCATTTGTATTATATGTGAACATTGACCTTTTAACACATGATATCCTATAATTGCAAAGGCATGGACATTCATTGGAATTTTCTACAGAATTTGACTGTAACCTTTCCTTAAAATTAATTTTAACTAGGGGCAATAAATAATGTCCATGTATCAAATTTTTATTTTATGATTTTTAAATTTATATTACTATTTAAAATACATATTCTTATGTCAATTCCTAACAAGCTGTGTTTCAAGAGGACTGGAAAAGAAATATCAATTTTAATATGCCAAGATCTTCTACAAAAGACTAAATTTTTAACAATGAAAGAAACAAAAAATATACTTCCCTACTCCTCTTTATTCTTACCTTGGGCAGTTACCATAGCAATTACTCTATTGCATTTCATGTCACACTATTTATTCTTGTCCTCATTATTATTTTTAACTATTTTAATAATTGCTATTTTAAACACTTTACTACTGTAGGCTATGATTAAAATACCTGTTTAATATTTTATTATTATTTTTTATTTCAGCATATTAGGGGAAGACAAATGTTTAGGTTACATGTGTTGCCTTTGCCCCCACTTCCACCCCAGAGTCAGAGCTTCAAGTGTGTCCATCCCCCAGATGGTGCGCATTGCACCCATTATATATGTATATACCCAACCCTTCCTTCCCCATCCCACCTGCCAATGCCCAATAAATGTTACTCCTATATGTCCACTTATGTGTTGATCAGTTAATACCAATTTGCTGGCGAGTACATGTGGTGCTTATTTTTCCATTTTTGGAATACTTCACTTAGTAGAATGGGTTCCAGCTCCATCCAGGAAAATACAGAAGGTGCTATATTACCATTGTTTTTTATAGCTGAATAGTACTCCATGGTACACATACAGTACATTTTATTAATCCACTCATGTATTGATGGACACTTGGGTTGTTTCCACATCTTTGCAATTTTTTTACGTTTACTTGAGGCATAATTGATATACAAAAAAGCCACATTTAATGTATACATTTTGATGAGTTTACTCGAGTGGGTGGGGAACCTGCAGCCTTCTGATTTCAAGATTGTTCTTTTTTAAGCACCAAAGGAGGCAAGAAAAGTTCATCTTTCTCTGTTCCACCCCCTTTAATAAAAGGATTTGTTCTGTAAAATTTGGATGCAGTCAAAAGGCCACACTTAAGGACTTAGAAGGCCACATTTGGACTTAAGGCTGCAGGTTCTCCACCCCTTGTAGTAATTGTTATTATCTCCATTTACGCATGACAAAAATTGGATTTATGTAATTTAAATATTTTGTTATCTTTTTATAACATAGAGGTAATATTGGAGTCAAAAATCAACCCTAAATCTGTCTGATCACAATATTCATGTTTTTAATATTTTCACAATATTCTTTCCTTTGAAGGAATCTCTTAAGAGCAGGGACTGCATGAACATCATTTTGATCTTTAAGAGACTTCCATCCTACATAGTACAATACAGTTAGTCACACGTAGTAAAAGAAGTATCTGTCTTAAACTCAGTTTTAAATAGGTAAATGTGTACTTTTTCTCTGACATAATACTTGCTGGATCATTGCTGCATGTCAGACTTCAGAATGAAAATATGAGCAACCCGCCTGCGGATTTCCTTGGTCTTCACGCCATAGACAATGGGGTTAAGGGCAGGGGGCACAAGCAGGTAGAGAGTAGATAAGAGAATGTGGGCATAGGGTGGTACATGGCCAAACCGATGGCTGAAGAAGGAAAAAAAAGCAAGGATATAAAACTCCAGGAAGACAATAATATGCGCAGTACAAGTGCTGAATGCTTTGACTCGTGCCTCTTTCTGGGGAAGAGAAAAAACAGCCTGAAAAATGAGAACATAGGAGATGAAGACAAAGATCATGTCAAAACCTAGAATTGCAAAAGCCACAAAGAGCCCAAATGATTTGTTAATATGAGTGTCTTCTGCAGCCAGCTTGACCACAGCCATGTGCTCACAGTAAGAATGGACGATAACTACAGAGTGGAAAAGATGCAGTTGTTTGAGCAGAATGGGTAAAATCCCAACAAGCACTGTTGCCCGGATTGCCACCATCAGCACCACCCGAACTAGAAAGAATGGAGTGAGGATGGATGTGTGCCTCAAAGGATCACAGATGGCAACATAGCGGTCAAAGGCCATTGCCAACAGGATGCCAGATTCCATGCCTTGCAAGGCATGGATGAAGAAGAGTTGGGTGAGGCAGGAATCAAAAGCCATCAAGCCAGAGCCAAGCCAGAAGATGGCCAACATCTTAGGACCAATGGCTATGCAGAGTCCTAGGTCAGTGGCTGCCAATACTGCCAGGAAGATGTACATGGGTTGGTGGAGACTGCGTTCTGTAGAGATAATGATTAGCAAAATGATGTTCCCCAGCAGGGCCACCAAGAACATGCCAAAGAAGGGAAACCCAATCCAAAACTGTACATGCTCTAGTCCAGGGATCCCAATTAGGGTCACTGTCTTTGGGTTCATATATGACATGTTGGTGGGTCCCACGAGGCTGGTAAATCCTTTACTCACCATCATTGGTTATGATACCTATTCAGAGAAAAACCATAGATGAGAAGGAAGGACCTACTCCTCATATTTCCTCTCAGAGTATGAAAAACATGGATGGAATTGTGACCATGTGACTGGATCTTTGGGCATCAATTTAGGTTAGTATCAGAACAGAGCTCTTGGATATCTTTTCCTAAAGCGAACACTGGTATTTGTGAATGAAGATTATAAGCCAGTGTTTATCACCAAGAAATTATAAAAATTGAAATTATGACTCAATGGGAATTGACTCTGCTATTCTTCATTCTTCTCAAATTAACATATGTCACAGATCAATATTTTTTGTTCATATCATCTCCAAACTCCAGACACATTTCAGATTAAGTGAAATTCCCCTGAGATACTTGAAGTCAGAAGATAGATCCTTAATCCCATGACCTTGTTCAGTTAGCTGAAATCTCAGAATCTTCAGATAGTGCCAGCCTCTCCCAGCCTTCCATTTTTATCTGGTTTAAGGCATAAAATACTTCCTCTTATATCTTAGAAATTGACTTTCAGGTAGGGAAGTGAAGAGGTTTGTTCTTTCGACATATATTGGTTGAATTGAAGTCCAATTATTTAGATTCTTAGAGACAATATGCAGGAATTGTTTTATCAGTAGTGGCTGAGCATGTTTCCTTCACTAAGTAAATTCTGGTCTGTGAATTTTCAAAGTGGATGGGTAAGCACAATGGAGTAGAAAGCAATGTAAGTATTCACAGATCTTAGAGGATACAGAAAGTCAAGAAGATAGATGTCAATTGAATTATAAGGGGCCATAAATAAGGATAGGAAGCAGGCCACAAAACCTGATCTATTGGATAACCCCTGTAGCTTAAATGTTTGGATAATATTGAAGTGTCTTTATGCAAAATGACACAGCTCTGCTGTTTATAATAGATTCAATCTACACTATGATCCTTTTAAAAAAGTTTATTACCAGTTATCAATGAAAATAATTTCTGACACCTTTGAATACATTGTTCAAATTTACACCTACCCCAGACTTTTATCCTTTTTTATAATTTGCCTATTCTATTTCTTTGGAACACCACTAACTAAAGCTATTTTTTTCCTCAGTCATCATTTTTTTATTTCATTATATTATGGGGATACAAACATTTTGGTTGTATATAATGCCTTTGCCTCACCCAAGCCTAACTAACTATACTTAAGAGAAACTTATATACACTCTCAATTTTTTCTCTTTCTTCATTAACCATTCTACAAGCATTATCACTTACTTGCTTACAAAAGTTTTATTCTATCTTCCTTATAATTATGTCATTGACTTAGTAGGGAACATCACTCCAAATGGACTTTTATATATTTTTTCTTTGAAAGGAAACTATAAATTAACATAAAAATATAATGGTTCAGAGCCAGTAGGAATGCCTATGTGGGTACAACTAGAAAGTCCTCAATATAATATAATATAAAATGTTTTGGTAGTTGATGGAGAGTAGGAGATCTTGTTATGTGTACTTCTGTAGCCACACACATCAGTAGGCTATGGCCAAGTAAGTGAAGAGATACAGATTAAAACAATTAGAAATTTTATAAAAAGAAATTTCTTTTAATGCCCACATGAAATGAGATTGAATGGAAGAAGTGATAGATTCTCTAAAAGTGATTGCTGATAAATACAAAATTGTCTTGTTAAGGTGGAGTGAGCTGTTGAAGACAAAGCCTAAAAGAGCTTCAAAAGACAATACATCTTAGATAATTAAAATAATTATAAATTATAAATTTCCACTTTAATCTAAAGACAAAGGTGAAAATTACTCTAGTTCCATCTTAATAGACAATAATGCTTTAATCACATTAATTTTCTTCTATACAGTGTGGTATATAAAATCATGAGATATGAATCTAGAAATATAAAACACTATCTAATAGTGGTTCTACTTTTTACCTCACTATAAATAGGGGTTATAATACCACTTAACCCATTGGATCATTGGGAGAACTAAATAAGATTATGTATGAAAGTCTCAGTACAAAGCATGGAAAAGAGTATGCACTCAGTGTCTAGTATCTAGTGCTTGCTTGTCAGAGCATGTAGTGAATTTCTGTGAGTATAGAGAAATACTACTGGCTTCTTGAGAAAATGAAAAATAAAATACAGAAATTAGCAAATTATCTGAGGAAAGAATTCATAAAAACTCCATTAAGATGAATTTTCTGGAGCTGAATGGATTTACTCAGTCAAACCTCTAAGATCAGACATTCATGTAAGCAGATCAGATGATCACTGTCACCGTAGAAAATTGACATTCCATTCATGTGCAGGCAGTGGTGGATTAAATAAATTCCACTTATTAAACTAATTTGGCCACTTCATCTGACAAATAATCATATTCTCCTATAAAATTTTAGTAGGTAGGTGGAAAAAATGTATATGAGCACCAATATTTGACAAAATGAATTTATGTTAAAAATTTCTTCTGTGACAGCAAAAGTATGCATTTTGTGCAACTTAGTTTTCAATGATAATCAGATCAGAAAATATTAATTCCTGATCTCTAAATAGAAGAGGAGCAGAAAAAAATAAAAGTGTTCTTTAAATAGAGGTAGGTAAAGTGTAGGACAAGGAATTAAAATACAAATTATTAATGTTCCTGAGAAAGAGAGGATTGGGTTTCAGGGGATGAGATATGAACTGAGATCACTGTGTCTGTAGGACCAGATGACAAAGCTAAGAAAGGCAAGAGGACTCTCTCTTCTCTTACCTTTTTTACACATATCCAATCCCTCCTGCTCAAACTACGCAGACACAGACACATACACAGATACACACACACACACACACACACACACACACACACACACACACAATCCAAACTGAAAACTATCTCTTTTTATTTTTAGAATCGGTCTTTTCTGCAGAGACCCTCTGTCTGGCGGTGTTATTCGTCCGCCATCTTGCTCCGCCCCCCCCTTTTTATTTTTAAATTTGTAAAAAACCAAGCAATATTAGAATCACATTGCTTGTGAAAATTAAAAGATAATACTGGAAACCTTATATCATCCTACTCTTACTAATTAACTATATTTTGTCCATTATGTTTTCCTCGTATACAATTAAAAAGATAGTACTAAATTACTTTTGCATCTCTTCCATCTCTAAATAACACAAATCTAGTCCACCTCTCATATTGTTGATTAGAAATAAACAAACCACAAACAAACAAACAAACAAAAAACTGGGGTCCAGAGAAAGAAAACAGCCATGCCAAAGGAAAGTGTGTTAGTGAGTAATGTAGGATTAAGATAATCTGATTCACTATCCTTTCCGCTTCCTCTTAAAATTTGCTGCAGTTAGAAACCCTTAACCATGTACAAATTCCAACACATGTAGGTGAACTCACCTCGATAAACAGATAACTAGCTGGAACATAAAGACAATAGATGAAATAGTTTTTTCTCCCAGATTTTCCATTTGGAAAGGTATTAATAGATAAGTGTATTTCATCATCTACTTTTAGCTGTTTCTGTTTGTTTTTTTTTTTTTTGGGGGGGGGGCTTTTCTTAAAGTCTGAATTGATCCCAGGGTGATGCTACAGATTTGGCCCCTAGAGAAGTCATTACCTTTTTGCGACTCATCCCTATTTTGCAGGAGAAAAATATTCATTACTTGAAAGTTCATAGCTAGAAAGCATTCAGTTACTCATGAGAAGCTGTTTCTAAGGAATGACAATCAGGAAATATCAAATCACAGATTACTTTCAGAGCATGATGGATCTGAGATCCTTTGGAGTATAGGAGAAGAAAATCTGAGAAATGGAGAATTTGTAGACTGGAAAGACAGAAGACATTTTGGTCAACTTTTTAGCCTATGACCAGGCTTATAGAGTAAGGAAACAAAACAGTACCTTTCATCTTTGCAAATACTATGTTACCACAGCTGCAGCTCATATAAATACAATAACTACTGCTATTAGTATTAGTATCACTAAAAATCTTTTATAACATTTTAGCTCCTTAGTGGCAAGATACTGCAGACAGTTCCCACTGTCCAGGCAGGTTTGAGAATGCATCATTCTCTACTTTGTTCCATTTGGCACCTGCCATTGGCAATATTTATGGAATTTGGCAGTGACTACTTGTGTAATTCTACTATCAGAGTATTCTACTCAACATACCTAGGTGATGAGTTTCATATCTTAGGGGAATGCTTCAAATACAATGTTGGCATTCTAACCACAAAGTTATTATAATATATTTCCTTGCCAATGGATGCCATTAATTGCATGCAATATCATGTTGGATTACTTATTTTTCTTCTTTATTCCTAGATGCAGGACCTGGTGCATCACTTGATATTATGATGTTATGTAATGTGAAGTTGATTACACTTAGATTTAACTAGATGTCAACCAACTCCCTAGCCCTAAGAATCAGGTAATGTTTCATTTGTTAGTTCTATGATTAAATCTTTTAGGACTTCATGAGAAATCTATGATGGTACGATGGTATGTCCCAGAAAAAAACATAAACACTCAATATTCACTATAATTAAAAGGAATTGATAAAGTATCTACATGTATTTTGCTTCTTTACTTGTTTATGTTTTCTCTGCTACTATACTTAGGTTTTAGAATTGATCACATTTTTTCCTTTCTATCTACTTTTTAAAATTTTATTTGAAAATATCTGAACTTCTTCATTTTGTCCCTCTCTGATATATTTATCTTCTTAAACATTACTTCTTTTTCTCTTTTTACCAATTACTTCACAACTAGTTCCCATCAATTTTCTTTTGTCCTGTATCTTCAGGACTGCATCCCTGTATCTCCTCTCTATCTGTCCCTTCCCTAAACAGAGAACATGTTTAGTCTTATAAAAAAATAGCATCTACTGAAACAAAAAGTAAAGAACTATCTCATTCTTTTCTCTGAAGCAAAGGTTTTGAAATAGGGTATACTTAATTCCCTCTTAACCTTACCTCCCTTTATTCATCTTTACATCCTAACATTATATTATATTCTTTGTCTCTGTTAAATCTATTCTTTCTCACCTTGTTGAGGTCACCCATGTTTATAATTAATAATCTAAGTGAGCACTTTCTTGTCTACAGGGAAGTAAGTCAGTTGTTTATAACTTTTTACAAAATTACCAGCTAACTTTGAAATTATTCACTACTTATATTTTATGCCAATGTCCTCAAATACTTGATGTTTTAACTTTCTCACTGTTCATTCCTGAATGAATTAATTTAAAAAATTATAATTAAAAATATAATTTAAAAAATGTTCGTTGAGTTTCCTTGGTGATGAAGGTTAAAACTATACAAAAAACTCTCCCCCATATCTTTATGTGGATATTGATATGTGTGTACATATTTATGTATGCACATGCATATACATGAATGTGTATGTTTGTGTACAGATATTTTATATATATAGCCATCTGTGGAGAAGACACAGGGATTAGAGAGCAGGGAAGTTGCAATAACATGTTCCAAAATACGGTATGAGCCTCATGCCTCATAGATATCTAGGGGGAGGTTTTGAAAATAATGAAAACAGAAAATGCAAAGACACTGAATTTGAACATGATGTGCGTGTTTGAATAACTGTGACAAGGCTTAGGTAACTTGAAAGGAATAAGCAAGGGGAATTAATTCATTTGTAACACATGAATTTTGAGTGATAACAGGGTACAGAGGGTAGGTGCTCTTGTGGCAATTGTAAGAACTAGGCTTTCACTTTAAATAAATAAAGTTAGAATTTTCGTTGGTTTACTAGTAGAGGAATGCTATGATGTGAACTATATTTAAAAAGGAGAAATCTGGCTATTATTTTAGTAATTGACCTAAGAAGAAAATGATTGATGCAAGGGACTCTTTATAATCTACATCAATTAATATTGATTAAAATAAATTCCCTAAATCTGAGGGAATCTTACAATAACAAAGATACATTTCTCATTCATGTTTCAGCTTTGATCTGGGACCTAGGCTGTTGTGTGAACTATTGCTATTATTGTATCACTGGGAAAGAGAGACTGTGAAAGCATATGATGAGTTTTAAGTCATTGTTCAAAAATGACACATCAATTTTATTTACATTTCATTGGCCAAAGAAAGTTACATGATATATACTGATGTCACTAATATGAAAAAATAATATACATTGAGAGGTCTGACATAGATAACTTTGTTATAAAAAATTTAATAATATTTGAAACTAATAATACTATGTATCACATTGTTCCTTCAAATATCTCAAAGAAAATTAACGGTTTGTGTCAGGAATTTACTAGAGAAGGCAACAAGAAGTACTTGTTCTGGATATTTTAATAAGAAAGTGAATAAGGTTTGCTGATTGTTTGGATGTAGTATGGAAGAGAAAAAGGAGTAGAGGAAGATTTCAATATCTTTAACCAAATTGTCTAAAGGAATAGAGTTGTTATTAACAAGATGGGCAAAACTAGAAAAAGGGCATGTTTGTGGGAGCTGATTTGAAGTTCAGTCTGGACATGTTAATTTAAGGTGAGCATTTTAAGGTGAGCAATTTAAGGTGAGCAATTTAAGGTGAGCAATATCTTACAGCCCATATCCAGCAGGAAGTTTAAATGTGAATCTGAAGTTAAATATGCCTGAATTCAAATAGTCTGTATCCAGTAGGCACTGCAATGTGAGTCTAAGAGTGGGGAACTGTGGTGGATGAGCTGCAGGAAGCCAGCAAGGAAAGGGGAGGATGTAAAGAGTCCTCTGTGACATACTGAGGACACTGAGTTTTCATCTCATGGCATGGAAAATGATTGGATGGTTTTGTACAATGTTTTGACAATATCTGAATTAAAATTTAGTAAGATGACTCCACCTGCCACCATGAGAATCAATTGAAATTTGTGACTTGAAGAAGATTAAAACAAGATGATCAGTTAGGAAGATATTGCCATGATTCAAAATAGAGATGTTAATGGTTTAGATAAGGTTGGTAAAAATGTTTTTATAAGATTCAGTGATTCAGTTGGTAACTCAGAGTGGAAACAACCACAACAAATAAGATTCAGTGAATTCTGGATGAATTTTGAAGACAGAAGAAACAATCTGTGAACAGATAAGATGTGGAATATTATGAAATGTCAGGATTAAGGGTAATTTAAATAAAACAATGGAGACTTATTCCTTGGTTGGTAGGATGTCTCAGGCTTATGTCATTTCTCATTATGATTCTATGGGAATTAGTGCCATTTTGCAATCTAAACATATCTTAGATAATATCCAACCTGCTTTTAGAAGCCATAAACCTGCAGAATAATCCACATATTGCTTTCCTTGTTTTGGTTAAGACACATTTCTGTAAACTAGAGAGAAACTAACATTATATTAGACAAAATAAAGTTTAAAAATAAACAGTAGATGAATAGATGAGGGATAATCGGTATTAATAAGAACATTGCAATAACTACAGAATAAATATTTTTAAGTAGTCATGAAAATATTAACAGAAGTTACCATATAATTCAAAGTATGTTCTGTGGCTATAATGTGATTAAACCAGATAGAAATAAGAGAATGGTATTTGGAAAATTCCCAATATTTAGAAATTAAACCATAAACTTCAAACAATCCAATGTATTAAGTATGAAGTAACAAGGAAGATTAAAATATATTTTGAATGTAATGAACATATAACATATTAAAATTTATAGAAGGTAGGTAAAGCAGTGCCTAGTGGGGAATTTATAACACTAATTGCTTATTTTAGAAAATAAGAAAGATATCGGCTAAATAATTTATTCTTCTATCATAGGAGTAGAAAAAGACAACCAAAATAACCAAAAGCAAACAAAAAGCAGAAAATACTAAAAGTGAAAACAAAAACAACAGGGAAAAATCAATTAGACCAATTTATTTATGTTTAATTTCTGTTTCCTTACTTCTTGATTGATTTATAAATATATATGAAAAGCAACAGAACAAACCATTAAATAATGGACATTTCAAGGACACACAAAATAAGCTTTATACTGGGCCCAAAAGTGAATCTGAATACATTTCAAGTATTTAAAATTTCAAAAAGTACTCCCTGATTGCAATGAAATTAAACTAGAATTCAATAGTTTATCAAGAATCCTTAAATATGTGGAAATCAAGCAGCACATATCTCAATATGTCAAGAATTAACACAGGAGTCACAGTGAATATTAGTCTTATTTTAATTGAATAATAATGAAAATACAGAATGTCAAAATGTGTACTATAGAAAAACTAAGAGAAGAATGCACATATTACAAAGGAAAACATTTGAAAATCCATAACCAAAACTTTCTTATCAAGAAGTGAAAAGAACTGCAAATTAAATGTGAAAAAAGAAAATAAATGATAAAGATTAAATTGGAAGCCAAATACATTAGCAGTAGACAGATAATATTAGTCTTAATCTGAATACTTTTTAAGCCTAGACGTAGTTGTGAAAATAAATGCCTTTAAGATCCAGGATGATAACATGAAACACCAAAGATGGGCACACAGGGTCCAAAATGTCTCCATCTCTAGGAAATAAATGCATCTTCTACATGGCCATCATTGTCTAGATCATTGCTGAGATCCATGATTCAGAAGAAAAATCTTTGCCACACGGTTACAAATCACCTTATTTTTTACACCATAGACAATAGGATTCAGTGCAGGTGGCACAAGGAGGTAGATGGTAGACAAAAGAATGTGGGTAGAGGGGGCAACATGTCCAAAACGGTGGCTGAAAAAAGAGAAAAAGGCAAGAATATAGAACTCGAGGAAGACAAAAATATGAGCTGTGCATGTGTTAAATGCTTTTAGCCGTGCCTCCTTTTGTTGTAGACGAAAAACAGCTTGGAAAATCAGAACATAGGATATGAGGATAAAAATCATGTCAAATCCAAGAATGGTAAAGCCTACAAAAAGACCACATGACTTATTGACTAGAATGTCTTCTGCAGCCAGCTTGACCACAGCCATGTGCTCACAGTAAGAGTGGGCAATAAGAATGGAATGGAAAACATGCAGTCTTTTGATTAGAATGGGTAACAGACCAACCAGCACTATAGCTCGAATTGCCATGACCACTATCATGCGACCCACAATGGAAGGAGTGAGGATGGACGTGTGCCTCAAAGGATCACAGATGGCGATGTAGCGGTCAAAGGCCATGGCCAAGAGAACACCAGACTCCATGCACTGCAAGGTATGGATGAAAAACAGCTGGGCTAGGCAGGCATCAAAGGCCATGGAACAAGATCTGAACCAAAAGATGGCCAGCATCTTAGGAACAATGGCTGCACAGAGTCCTATGTCGGTGGCTGCCAGCACAGCCAGGAAGATGTACATGGGCTGGTGCAAGCTACGTTCTGAAGGGATGATGATTAATAAGATGCTATTTCCCAAAAGAGCCACTAGGCACACAGCAAAAAAAGGAAACCCAATCCAAAACTGCACATGCTCTAGGCCAGGGATGCCAATCAAGGTTACCGTTCTGGGGTTCAAATATGACATGTTGATGAATGCCATTGAGGTTGGTATTCTGTTGTCTCACCAGTGATTCTGATACCTGAGGAAAAAAACTTGGATGGAAAGTGAAAATGTTTCAGTCCTTATTAACATCCTACCATAGTGTGCATTGAGCAAATAAATTCAGTGCTTTGAATGGCAGTTTGGCCAAATTATTCTGAGGTTCTACAATACAAGATAGAGAAAGCAAACACTATGTAAAAGCTTTACTACAGCCATATAGGAGATAAAAAAATGTGAAACTTTCAGGGTTTCTGACTTAACTCTTGTGGACATGGAAACTTGACACTAAGAGCACTAATCTCCTGCATCTTCCGTGATATCTACACTAGTTTGCCTGAAAAGTCAACATTAGGTGTCTCTTCTTTATCTGCTTCCAGAAGCCAGACAATTCCACCAGACTTAGAAATTCTCCTGGAGGCCTTGGTGTCCCACAGAAAATCCCATTTCTGTTACTCTGTGTACATTAGTAAGTAATCTTATAATAAACTTTACTATTAGCCACATCGCTCTTGTTTCCAATAAATGAAATATTTATCCTTGGGTCATTTTCACTTGTTCTCAAATGGGGTTTATTAAAGGAGAGTTTTAGTTGTCTTATATTAACTCATTGCTTCATCAAAATAATAAATAATCCATTATTTTTCAGGGAATTAAGAATGGTCCTTAGAGGAGATTTGAAGAGGATTGTCTTCTTTCAGAAACAGTCAAGGAAGTTGGTTTCTAAGTGAATTAAGGACCATTTATGTTTAGGTAGACATGTTGTGTGGAATAGGAAATGTAGCACACAGAGGCTGTTTTTTACCAGGGCGTGGAGTATTAAAAAACAAGAAGAAGAAGAATATAAAGCTATCAAATTTAAGAAAAATGAACAATTTAAAATCAGATAATATATCTGATTTTTAGTCAAAAGCAGAACCTGTCAACTTTAGATATATTCCAAAGTTGGATTAGCGTAAATGTGTGTATCTGTATGTTTTTATCAAAGGTTAAAGGTGAGTGTATTATCAGACTCCTTGGGTTTTGAGTAAGGTTTCTACCCTGCTTTGTAAAATGGACTCCCTACTTTCTCTTTTTAATAACTCTACTCTATACTATGAGTAATTAGTTGGGGTTTGAATCCTAAAGATCCATTGAATGTAATGCCTACCTCTTAATCCCTCTTTACTCCTACACTCTTTTCAGATTTTGATTTATGTTCCTTTTAGGGACAGTCAAATCCATTTAGCAAAACCCTGTTTTCTCCTTTAGTCTCAGTTTTATTTATCACTTTCTAATTTTTGAACCATTTTTAATTTTGCTCCAAACCATCCATACCTAAACACTGATCCCAATCTTTCCCATAAAGAGATGTTTTCTATCTGGTCACATCAATACACTCTGAAAAAGGAAGCCCTTTATGAATATCACTGGAAATCTTTGTTTCTCTTTCCCTCTGGATGGCAATCTCTGGAAAAGTGTCATACAAGAAACTGTTTAATCTTCTCATGGAGTAAATGCGTGGGAGTATAGAAAGTATTTGTGGTACAATAATTTTTAAATTAAAGAAGAAAAAATTGACACTGAGACATCTTTGTTTGTAATCCTGCAACAATACTACTGAGTGGACTATAGTCATAATAGTCATAAATATGGGTTAATGCAATAAAAATTGTGAAAAATAATTTCCTTTGATGCTTGCATTTGATATTGGAATATATGGTAGAAAAAATAGTGAAGTGTATGGACTATGTTTTTATTTCTTAATATGAGTTGCCAGACATTATAAACACTGAAAGAGAAAGATTTCATAAGGTAAAACTATTGATATTTCTTAAATCATTAAATAATTGTCTCATAGTCTAAAGGCAAAATATATATTATAATTACATGCATCCACTTGATGTTGATTCTTTTATCAGATTACTTGTCTAGTATTCAGCAAGTGGTTAAAATCAAAGGCTTGAAAATCAGGAAGATGACCTGATCACTAATCCTGGGTCCCTCACTTAGCATTTATGGCATCTTGCCCAGGTACCTTACCCACCTTTTACTCATATGCAAATTAAGGATGCTAACCTCACTTACCTCAATGTTAAATAAGACGTTATGCAGAAGAGATCAGTTTCTGGAAAAATTCAAGTACATATATGATAGCCTATGAAAAACTTGATATTTTGTCAAGACAGAGGCAGGCTGTATAAGACTGGGGGAGAGATAAAACAAATATACAGAGAAGTGAAAACTTCTTGATGTTAGAAATGAAGAAATCTGCATGAGAAGAGGAAAGTTCTAGAGTCAAAGAGCTTTCCTCCACCATATTGTATTAATATATGAGAAGTAATCATTCTTCCAAGCAGTCATCAAATGATCAGAGTTGAAATAGGAAGGTTACATTCCATTTACATATTTTTTGTGGTTAAAAATGGGATATGATTACTTTTCATTTACAGGCTTCTTGAGTATGTATAATTTAATGGAGGGAATAAATGCATCTGAATTTCCTTAACTCCAGTTTTTATAAGAGATAACAAGGTATGAGCTTGATGTCTCTTTACTTTTTAAAATAGTCTAACTGCTGTCATATAAAGGGTCTTCTGATTCCTGCTGACTGAGTGGAAGTATTTGAAGAAAAAGTGTGATAATAGATGATCTCCAGTGGAGGCAAAAGGGCAAAAAGGAGATTGGGTTCTTCTCTGCCTGACAGAAAGAATACTGAGCTGTTATGTAAATGTATCAGATACTAAATATGTTGAAGGGATATGATTCTACTTTTTACATGACTCAACCACCTGCCACATTTTTACAGAGACCAATGGGTAGCATCCTCTAAATTATTCTTTTTCATTTTCAACAAATCAGGGAATGCTAGAATTAATTGGAACTGAATTGACTAGAATCCAAAAAGTGTGGTTACAATCTTACTTATGTTATTCATTATTCAGGGGCCAGATACACAAGAAGATTACCTAATTACCTATGAATATATTTAACTCTAAATTACATTGATCTAGTCCTTCATTCATTTTTTTATGAAAAATTATAAACACAGAGAAAACATGAACAAAGGAATCATTGAGTGAAGCAAGATTTAGAAACCCTTATTCTATTTTTCCTAAAATAAGCTGCCATCATAGCTATATCCATTCTCAGTCCCCAAGTTCTAGAGGGAGAAACTTACCTGGATGGAGCTGAAGACTGGCATGGCATGTGCATGGTCTGGTTTTATCAACTCATTGCCACCAAATTTCTAACACATGCAGATAATAATGGAAGTGTCACTGGGCTTTTCTTAAAGCCTGGACTTATCTCAGAGCATCATTATCCTGATATCCCTAGAGTGTCATTATCCTTCTCAACCCCAGGCTTCCTTATCAGGAGCAAGCTGGTCTCAAAGCTGGAATACAGAACCAGAAATTTCTCTGATTTTAAAAAGAAAGGAGTCTCCTAGGAATGAGAACCAGGAAATATCTAGTTGGGTTTTTATTCAGAGCAAATTGATTCTGGGATCAAGTGAATTTGAGAGATGGAGATTTCTTAAGATGTAGAAACAAAGAATAATTGTATTTTCTACCCTCTGTCAACTGTCAAGGCCTATAACTGAAGTAGTGATCAACAGAATTAATGCAATCCCTATCAAAGTACCATCATCATTCTTTACAGATCTAGAAATAATAATTCCATCTGTCTATGGAGCCAGAGAAGACTTTGTATAGCCTAGTCTTTGTATAGTCTACAGAGAAGACTTTGTAAAGCAATGTTAGTAAAAAGAACAAACTAGGAGGTATCAGTCTACAAGACTTCAAGATGTACTATAAGGCTATAGTAATTAAAATAGCATAGTATTGGCACAAGAACAGAGACATAGATCTTTGGAACAAGACTGAGAATCCAGAGATGAAACCATCTGCATATAGCAATCTAAGCTTTGACAAGGCAGACAAAAATATACATTGGGGAAAAGAAACTCTATTCAATAAATGGTGCTGGAAAAACTGGATGGCTACATGCAGAAGAATAAAACTGAATCCTCACCTCTCACCTCTCACCAAAATCCATTCAAGATGGATAACAGACTTAAACCTAAGACATGAAACCTTAAAAATTCTATAAGGTGATGTTGAGAAGACCCTTTCAGACATCTGCCTAAGCAAAGAATTTTTGAAGAAGAGCCCCAAAGGAATCACTGCAGCAACAAAAATAAATAAATGGGATCTGATCAAATTAAAAAGCTTTTGCACAGCTAAGAAAACTATCATTAGAGCAAATAGACAGCCTACAGAATAGGAGAAAATATTTGCTCTCTACACATCTGATAAAGGGCTGATAACAATAATCTATCTAGAACTTAAAAGAATCAACAAGAAAAAAATCAAATAACCCCATCAACAAATGGGCAATGGAAATGAACAGAAACTTTTCAAAAGAAGACAGAATAAAGGCCAGCAAACATATAAAAAATGCTCAACATATCTAATGCTCAACATATCTAATTTGCATTAGAGAAATGCAAATCAAAATCACAATGAGGAGGGTAGAGCAAGATGGCAGATGAGAAAAACTGCCAGCCAGAGTCTCTCTACAAAAAAGACAGATTTTAGAAGAAAATAGAAGAAATAAGCAAGCAGACAAGCATGCATCGGACGACAGTTGGAAGGAAGGGTACCCGAGACTATAGGAGACTCCACAGGAAGATGTCACGGAGAAAAACTGGATGAAGAGAGCTCCTGAGAGGCTTGGAGACCAGTGACAAGAGTAGGTGGAGCAATTTACATTCCCCTCCCTTGCATCTTGGACTGCTGGTGAGTTCTCTGGCAATTGGAGAGACCTTTGGACACTAGCGCAGAGACAGCTGCTGCTAGTGAGCCGTAAGCCTATTGCGGATATGGCACCAGACTCCCAACTCCCTCGGGGCACCTCCTTGTGCACAGACCCGAGCCACTCGGCAGGCCCCATATTGCTACATTCTACCCTCCATTCTGTATCTGTGGCTGCCAAGAGGAAAATATAGCCACCAGCCA